AGATCTTTTTCATCCACTTCATACACTTGTCAGATTAATTTTATAAAAATGCTGCTTGTTTCATAAAATTGTCATTCTCTTCTACAAGAATAAAAAGCCTTCATGGTCTATGTACTCATGTCCAAAATCCTCCTTCAGACTGAAGTAAAAAATGCTTTGTTAGCTGGGCATGGTGGTGCACAGCTATAATCCCAGCACTTGGGAGGCTGAGGGACAGGAGAATCACCATGAGTTTGAGGCTAGCCTGGGCTACATAGTGAGTTGGAGGCCAGCCTGAACTACATAGGAAGACCCTGTCTCAAAAACCAAAAAAAGGGCCAGGGATTTAGCTCAGTGGTTCTGGCGCCTGCCTCGCAAGAGCAAGGTCCCGAGTTCGATCCCCTGTACCAAAAAAAAAAAAAAAGCTTTGTTACAAGGTGGGCGTGGTAGCATAGGCCTGAAATACCAGCATTCAGGAAGCTGAGGCAGGAGTATTGCCCCCAAGTTCAAGGACAGCCTGGGCTACATAGTGAGTACAAGGCCAGCCTGAACTACATAGACCATAAATAAACAAATAGACCTCAAATAAACAAACAAAAATTTTGTTGACTAGCTGTACCTTAAATGCTACATCACCCACAATTCCCTGGCATCTTCTTTTTTTTTGGCAGCTCCTGATTAAGTCAATTTTTTCCCCTTCCTTTTTATAGCTTTGCCTGCCTTTCTCCTACCATTTTCTTTTTTCTTTCTTTCTTTCTCTTTCTTTCTTTCTTTCTTTCTTTCCTTCTTTCTTTCTTTCCTTCCTTCCTTCTTTCCTTGTTTCCTTCTTTCCTTCCTTCTTTCTTTCTTTCATTCTTTCTTTCTTTCTGTATCAGTTATTGAACTCAGAGCCTTACGCTTTCCAAGCAGGCACTGCACTGCTGAGCTATATCCCTGGCCCTCCCTACTATTTTCTTTTTCTTTCTTCTTTTTTTTCTAGTACCAGGAATTGAACTCAGGACCTTGCGCTTGCCAGGCAGGTGTGGTGCCACTGAGCTAAATCCTCACCCCTTCTCCCTACTATTTTCTTTCTTTCCTTTTTTTTTTTTTTTGGTACCAAGGATTGAACTCGGGTCCTTGTCCCTACTATTTTCTTAAGAAATCTGAACTTAAATGTAATTTTAAGTCCATGTACCCTCTTTTTTTTGTTTGTTTGTTTTGTTTTGGTACTGGGGATCAAACTCAGGTCCTTGTGCTTAAGGGGCAGGCTGAGGAACCACTGGCCCCTGTACCCCTGTAGCCTGGCCCACTGGCCCCTAGCCCTCAGGTACCCTCTTAGAGACTTGGGGTTTTTTTATTCTTAAATTCTTTTATTGGTACATTTTAGGTATACAATACATTTATATTCATCATTGGGAACTTGTACCTTTACAGGATGTATCTTGGTTCTTATTTTTTCCCCATTCCCCTGCCCTCCCTTCAACCCTTCCATCCCTCCCTATTTACAAAGACTTTGTTTCCATTTTCTCCTTTTCTCATGTTTCTTCTTTTCCCTTCTTTCCTTTCCCCTACCCCTCCCACTTCCCTTGTTTTTGTTTTTGTGGTACTGAAGATCAAATCTAGGAGTGCTCTACCACTGAGCTACACCTTCATTCTTTATTTTGAGACAGAATCTCACTGAATTGCCCAGGCAGGACTTGAACTTGGAATTTTTTTGCCTCAGCCTTCTAGAGTGCTGGGATTATAGGCATGGGGGCTGCCATTCCTACCTTAGGTTGGAAGATTCTAAAGAAAAGAGACCATGTTACTACCTCAATTCCCTACTACTTTAGATGGTCCAGGGCTCACCACAGACACTCAGTAAATATTTATTACATTAGTGTTGTGATTTTAAAATATACAGTGAGCCAGGCATGGAGGCACAGTCCTTTAATCCTAGCACTTAGGAGGCTGAGGCAGGAGGATCGCTGAGAGTTTGAGGCCAGCCTGGCTTACATGGCTCAAGGCCAGCCTGAACTACATAGAGAGACCCTGTCTCAAAAAACTAAAAAGAAAAAAAAAAATCTTTAAATTACTAACCATGATAATAGGTAATGAAAATATGCACAGAAGGCCAGGGATTTAGCTCAGTGGTTTCACTGCCTGCTGCGCAAGCACAAGGACCCGAATTCGATTCCTGGTACCAAAAAAAAAAAAAAAAGAAAAAAGAAAATATGCACAGACAGGTGTTCATTTAATTCAACAAACATGTACAATGTCTGCTATATGCCTGGCACTTTGGCAAAAAACTAGGAAGAGAAGTATAGATATGCAAAAAAATTTAAAATTCCACAAATATTATGAAATAAAAATATTTTACGCTAATATTACTGAGTACAGAATGAAATCAGTTAAAGCACTTATACATGTATACTGATATAAATTAAATAAATTAACAGTAAAATTAAGGATTAAAGAAAGAAAAAAATTTTTGATTTCTATAGTTTGAATGCTATTTAATCACATAATTAGGAATAAAAAATACAGATTGGTTATTTCCCCTGATTTATGTATTTAAGATTATTAACTTTGATCCCTTGTACCAAAAAACCCATCTCTATATATTTAAGATTTTATTTCTGATCTAGGTCTTATTGTTACTTGTCCCAAGAGAGGAAAAAAATCCTTATTTACATAAAGAATAGAATGGCTGTAAGATACTTACAAAGAATCAACTGCATGAACCCTCTTTTCTCATTTAATTCTCTGTAAAATGTATAAAGAATAGACTACTGAGAAGATATTTCTTAATCTTTTACATTATAAAGAAAACAAAATTCAAGACTGTGCCTCATTTTTAAAAAATTGTACACTTTACCACAATCCAGCAGTGTCTGTTTTTTGTCATTACTTTTTTTGGTTTTTTTTGTTCTTTGTCATTATTAAAATTATGAAATAAGTATTTTTTAGCAAAGCATTTATTGGTACATTTTAGATGTACATAATGATAACATTCATCATAGGGAATTTGTACCAGTACATGATATAGCTTGCTTCTTCTCTTTTCCCCTTATTTTCCTCCTTATGTACAAAAGCTTTGTTTCCATTTTGTCCTTCCATTTTTTCTTGTTGTCCCTTCTTTCCTTTCCCCTCCCCCTCCCTTGTTCCCCTTCTCATTTGAACATTTTCTTCACATTTCCCAATGTCTATTGTACATGAAATAAGTATTTTGAATGAGCTACTTATTCATCCTTACATTCTCTATATCATTTAATTCTTATTTTTGCTAAATATTTATGGTTTCAGAAAGAAGCATCAAATCATCCTTAACCCCTGTCTCTACTGAAGTATATTTTTATTTGCTAAAGTGATGGAGATATAGCATTTTCCCCCTATGAAATAGGCAAGAAATAAAGTGATTTGTGTGTTGGGTTTTATTTTTTCTAGAAAGGACTCCTGCAGCAAATCTGAGCTGGTAAAACAGAACAGTGCATGGCAGGCTACGAAACCCCAGGCCACCATCGCCGAAACCTGCAGCAGCTGTCATCCCAGGTCCCTGCCCTGAGCCCTGCTCTACAGCCCAGCAGGAGCCAGCAGGCTCTGCAGAGCATTCGAAGTGGTGCTGCAGACCCTGAAAATCTGTCGCTAAAAACCACTAGAAAAATTATCTATCAAAATTCAAATTTTCCACTTTGGTGGTCAGACAAACTTTTTTACTTCTGAAATTTTATCAGCAACATTAAGCACTCCACAGTTCACTTACTCTACATAGCCCATCTTTGCTGATAATGGAACCTTTCCAAATAGCAAAAGAATGTTACTGCAATCCATTTCCTAGGGGTGAAAGCAAAGCCTTTTTGTCTCGAGGGGCAATTGAGCAACCACCAGAGTCTCTGACTGAATAGCAAGGGTGTGAGGCAGCTACAATTCCCACAGTTAAAAGCCCAACCACAGAAGAGACTATTTACCAGTTTCACTAAGAACTACAGAAAAATGAACTGCAGTTGAGCTGACATTGCACAGTTGTCTGTGGATGGAGGCAACACTATAATATGGTTTTCTTTTTCCATTATATAACTGTCTTCTTTTTAATTTGGTTTTTTGTGGGGTTTTTTTGGGGGGGGCTTGATATTTTTCAGAAAAGAGAATAATGCAGAAATAAATCTGTACATAGAGGTAATACACTAGCTTTTTAACTCAATTTTTTCTTTTTGTATTTTTCCCAATTCTGTATTAGGGAAAATGATTCATTTCTACAGACAATACACCCACACAAACTATATTACATAGGTTTCTAGTAAAGGAATATCTCAAACAATTAACTACTGTATGCATATTAGTTCTTAATTATTGTCATGTTAGAACTATCCTTATTCAATATGGCTATTGTTTCCATTTTCCACTTTTCTATAGTAATTTGGTGTGTATGTGTGGGCGCAAAAGAAGGTCTGAAAATTTATTTGAACTTGAGAAATGATTTTGGATGGCTCTATTATGGAATCTTTTTTTTTTCCTCCTGGTAGTGGGAATAGAACCCAGGGACTTCAAACTGAGGTACATTTCTAACCCAGCCCTATTTATTTAAATTTTGAGACACGGGGGTCACGCTAAATCGCCCAAGCTGGGCTCGAATTTGCGATCCTCCTGCCTCAGCTGAATCTTAAATAAAATAAAATTACATTTACCCAAGCCATTTTGAACATCAGTGCCATCTTCTCTCCTATTTCATTTTTAAAACAATTAGAAATGTTGAATCCCAAAGGAATGTAGTCGAATTTAGTATACTGTGAGGGAGAAGCTAATTGTAATTTTCCGTAAATATTTAATCTCAACACATAGTGTGATTAGGTGTAAGAAAAAAATTTTCATAGCTTATTTTAATTGTAGTTTGAGGTTTAAGCAATATAAAATCATCTAACCCCGGTCTTATTTCTCCCCTTTCGGCCCCTCCCCAGCCACACCCCATAATGGATGCTCGACTGCAGGCCTTTGCACCATCTCTTTGTCTGAAGGATGCAAGCAGTCTATGGATGCTAGAGAAAAAGGGGTGGGGGAGAGATTACCTCATCCCATGTCGCTTGCACCAATCACCACTCTCCAGTTGTGACTTCTCTGGGCAGATTGAGGGGTCTGGACCAACAGGAAAAGGCCCTGGCCCATCCCCATGGTGACCGAGCAGTATATAGGGAGCCGCATCCGTGCCTGTGCCGCAGATTTTCTTACATCGACCGCCTAAGAGTCGCGCTGTAAGAAGCAGCAACCTCTCCTCTCGTCTCTGCCATCTGCTCGGCAGCCGCGAAGCAGCAACCATGGTAAGAATAATAATTTCTCCGGCTCTTTGTGGCCAGTGGGTGGAGTCAGTCCCCTTAAACTCATTTCTTCCGTAACCTCGTTGGGTAAGGGTAGTCTATGCTTTATGAAGTTTGGCTTTGTCTGCCCTGAACCCTTTGGTCCCGCCGCCGCAGTGCGGGGTGCAAAAACCCGGCAGAAAACGCGCCCAGCACCGAGGAGAACTGGGAGGAAGAACAAAGGCGGAGCGGGGGAGTTTTGGTTACCCGGAGCCCTTCGGGACTACCAGCAACCCGTCCGTCGATACTGAAGGGTCTGGGCCGGGAACAGAGACGGTGGCGTCCCCTGCGGGGGCCCTCTGGCCCCGCGGCCCGGAGAGGCCCCTTCCTTTCGCGCTTTTCCCGGACGCAGAGAGGAGTCGTTGTCCACAAAGACCGGGAGCGGGGTGTAACTGGGGACTATGGGGAGGGACCCTTGAGTTTGTGTGGAAAGATCCCTTGCGGGTTCGCAGGCATTTCAGAAAGATACCCGTGTATTTACGGGAAAATGGTGTTTCTGCTGCAGCCCTTGGCAGTCGTGTCCGGGAGGCGCAGGGGCGGAGTTGTTTGTTTCTGGCTTCTCTGGCATTGGGCGCGGTTGGCCCTCGCTAAACCTCCTCTGTCAGGCTTTTAATGAAAGCCGTTTATCATTGCAAAACTGTGGGCTTCAAAAGATTTTTTATTCACTGTTAAAACTTACATGACATATTTTCTTGAGAAGCAAAAGTACAATTCGCTTTGACAATGGGGAAGCGCCACCCCAAGGACTAGGTAGAGGGCTGAGGCTGCCCGCTGAGAGGTGCGAGAAGCCTTTGTGAGCCCGGGTACCTGAGGGTCAGGACGAAGGGAAACGCCCTCCCCGTACGTCAGTGAGTAGACAATGGAAGTTGTGCCCCTACAGATTATGGAGAACATCTATGGGATAAAAAGAATAGGAATATCACGTGGTGGGTAGAGAATCTCAAAATGAATTCTACTTCATTCTTTTAAATAATATTTCATTATCCATTCACTGGGCTTTTATTCTTTCGTTTGGTAGCTTCTATTATATTTGATCCTAACTTAGGAACTGCTGTTATATTCTAATACTTTTTCAACTTTTTTACAGTGGAGAAGATTCTGTAAAAAAACAATTTAAGTAATGAAATTGCTGCCGACAAAGAATTATACTGTGTGACCAGCTGTCTTTGTTCTAGCGCATCTTCATTAATTCATTTCAATCCAGGCACACAGTCCTAGGCTGGGTCACTGGAGGAACACTGCAAAACAGCACAATGAGATCATGTAGGCAGTGGCTGGAAATAGAGCTTGCTCTGTTAAATAATGCAGCAGACGATGCCGGCCAGCACCAGGCACTGCAATACAGCAGTGCAGCAGGCAGTCCTTGTCTAGCTTCCACCCGCCCCACTGATGGTTTCTGTAGACTGCAGAAGGGTGTGGCTTCAAGCCTCAACTGCAATACAGATGTCCAGATTAAAATACCAAGTCCTTTTAAAAAGAAACTTTCATCTTTAAAGAGGAAAGAAGCAATGAAATTAATTCTAATTAATGACTGAATGTAATTTAAATTTTACAAAATCTGCGCTTTGAATATTTTTAAAAATAAAAAAATCTTCTATTCAAGTATGGCTGTGGGAAGAACAATGGGCTTGGGGCCGGGGATTTAGCTCAGTGGTTCCGGTACCTGTGGTACTTGCCTCCCAAGCGCAAGGACCTGAGTTCGATCCCTGGTACCAAAAAAAAAAAAAAAAGAACAATGGGCTGACATCATTATGTCACAGACAACACCCATTTGCAGCATTTGTAGGAGGTTCTTTTCATTAATAATTTGTCATATTAGGGATATAGCCCCAAATAAATTTGAATGCCTGTATGTTATTAGAAATATTTTTTACAAATTTATTAAAAATTAAAAATGCTAATACAGCTTAATTTTATGACTTTTCTCTTTCCCTTCTCACAGCGTGAGTGCATCTCCATCCACGTTGGCCAGGCTGGTGTCCAGATTGGCAACGCCTGCTGGGAGCTCTACTGCCTGGAGCATGGCATCCAGCCCGATGGCCAGATGCCAAGTGACAAGACCATTGGGGGAGGAGATGACTCCTTCAACACCTTCTTCAGCGAGACTGGTGCTGGCAAACACATGCCCAGGGCAGTGTTTGTAGACCTGGAACCCACAGTCATCGGTGAGTGGACCTCGGACACCTATGGGATGTGGGGCCTGGGGTGTTGGGACATGAGGTCTGGCTTGAGGGCTCTGTTGATGGTCCAGGCTTGAAGTGCAGGTTTGTAGTAATGGGCAGTGGGTTTCTTTTCCTCTTCCAGATGAAGTGCGCACTGGTACCTACCGCCAGCTCTTCCACCCTGAGCAGCTCATCACAGGCAAGGAAGATGCTGCCAATAACTATGCCCGTGGACACTACACCATTGGCAAGGAGATCATTGACCTCGTCTTGGACCGAATTCGGAAACTGGTATGTTATTCTTGAAAATAAAGTAATTTAATGAGCATAAAGACATTTGGCCATTAGGTGGCACAAGCCTATAATCAAGCAACTAGGGTGGTTGGGAAGCACTTGGAAAGCTGAGGTAGGAGGATCACTACAAGTTCAAGACCAGCCTGGGATACATAGTTCAAGGCCAGCCTGAACTGCAGAGTGAGACTCTGTCTCAAAAAAAAAAAAAGAAAAGAGTGATACCAAATAGCTTTTGTTGTTGTTTTTGTGGTGCTAGGAACTGACACTGAGGCCCTGGGCGTGCTAGGCAAGTTCTGTTACTGAGCTACATCCCTATTCCCCATAGTTCATGTTTTAAGTAAAACAAAACAAAGCAAAATAAAAAACCTAAAGGAATAACTCATATCATTTTTTATTACATTTTCATTCTGTGTTTGGAAAAAACCAGCTTTATTCAAATGTCTTCTCCTTTCTTTAAAGATGGGGTGGTAGGTGAGGGAGCTCAGGAGGGAACTGTCTTATCTGTATCACTCAGGCTGGCCTTGAACTCGCACACCTCCTGCCTCAGCTTCCCAAGTGCTGGGCTTCCAGGTGGGCGCCACTACACTCGGCAGTATCACTTTGTAAATACTGAGGATAATAAAATTAAGAAATACTGGGTAATCCGCAAGGTTTTTCTGTTCTTTACTTTTGTGTATGTGTGTGTATCTATGTGGTGCTGGAATTGAACCTAAGGCTTCATGCAGGCCAAGCAAGCACTCTATCACTGAGCTACATCCAAAGTTCCCTAAACTTTTTAAAAAGCATTTGTCAGCTAGGTGTGACGGCATACGCCTGTAATCCTACCACTTGGAAGGCTGAGGCAGGAAGACTGCTGGGAATTTGAGGCTAGCCTGGGCTACATAGTGAGTTCAAGGCCAGCCTGTCTCAAAAACTAAAAATAAACAAATAAAAAGCATTTGTGAAAATAATGTTTAAGTCCATGGTGATATATGAAAAATAAAGGTATACTATGGTTGTATTGCAAAAAAAACAAGTTAATCTTTTCTCTATTCTTTTCTTTTCTAACAGGCTGATCAGTGCACAGGTCTACAGGGCTTCTTGGTTTTCCACAGCTTTGGTGGGGGAACTGGCTCTGGGTTCACCTCCCTGCTGATGGAACGTCTCTCTGTTGACTACGGCAAGAAGTCCAAGCTGGAGTTCTCCATTTACCCAGCCCCCCAGGTTTCCACAGCTGTAGTTGAGCCCTACAACTCCATCCTCACCACCCACACCACCCTGGAGCACTCTGATTGTGCCTTCATGGTAGACAACGAGGCCATCTATGACATCTGTCGTAGAAACCTCGATATTGAGCGCCCAACCTACACTAACCTGAACAGCCTGATAAGCCAAATTGTGTCTTCCATCACTGCTTCCCTCAGATTTGATGGAGCCCTAAATGTAGATCTGACAGAATTCCAGACCAACCTGGTGCCCTATCCCCGCATCCACTTCCCTCTGGCCACATATGCCCCTGTCATCTCTGCTGAGAAAGCCTACCATGAACAGCTTTCTGTAGCAGAGATCACCAATGCCTGCTTTGAGCCAGCCAACCAGATGGTGAAATGTGACCCTCGCCATGGTAAATACATGGCTTGCTGCCTGTTGTACCGAGGTGATGTGGTTCCCAAAGATGTCAATGCTGCCATTGCCACCATCAAGACCAAGCGCACCATCCAGTTTGTGGACTGGTGTCCCACTGGCTTCAAGGTTGGCATTAATTACCAGCCTCCCACTGTGGTTCCTGGTGGAGACCTGGCCAAGGTGCAGCGGGCCGTGTGCATGCTGAGCAACACCACAGCCATTGCTGAGGCCTGGGCTCGCCTGGACCACAAGTTTGATCTGATGTATGCCAAGCGTGCCTTTGTTCACTGGTACGTGGGTGAGGGGATGGAGGAAGGGGAGTTTTCTGAAGCCCGAGAGGACATGGCTGCCCTAGAGAAGGATTATGAGGAGGTTGGAGTGGATTCTGTTGAAGGAGAAGGTGAGGAAGAAGGAGAGGAATACTAAAAATGTCACAAAGGTGCTGCTTTTACAGGGAAGCTTATTCTGTTTTAAACATTGAAAAGCTGAGGTCTGATCAGTTAATTCATATGTAGCAGTGTATGCTCTCATATACAATTACTGACCTATGCTTTAAAACAAATGCTTTGTCACAGACCCAAATTGTCTATTTCTCTGATGGGTTTTGAATAAAGTATTCCCTGTCCTAAATTAGCTGTTTTGTGTTGTTTTTGTCTTTGCTTTTTTTTTTTTAACTAGGAAACTGAATCCAGGGCCTTAACACTAGACTAAATCCAAAACCATTTTAAATTTTTTATTTCGAGCCATAGGGTCTCTAATTTGCCCCAACTGGGGTCAAATTTGTTCTCTGTTTTCAACCTTCCAGTTCTGGGATTACAAGCATGTACCACTATACCCAGCTGTCTTGTGTTTATATTAAGGTGCCTGAAAATGTATGTAAAGATTATCATTAGACAGTACTACATACTCTTAAGTTTTGACTTACTTGTAAAGTTATTTAAATTGTCAATTTATAGTTGAAAGTTGTCTAGTTAGTACATAGCCATGGTCTGCTTGGCTGCTGAATCTCATACCACTAACAGATAAAATAGTGAATAACCCAAATGCAACACAAGGTTTTAGAAGCTCCTTTTCATGCTCCCTCAATAACTTGTTTTTGTTTTTTGGTTTTTTTGAGACAGGGTCTCTCGAAGTTCAGGCATGCCTCAAACTCATGTATCTCAGTCTGGCCTCAAACTCAAAATGATCCTCCTGCCTCAGCCACCCAAATGCTGAGATTATAGGAGTGTGCCACCATGCCCAGCTTCCCTTAACAATTTGACATGTATCTTGTGGCATATGCTTCCTCTACCCTGAGTTCCCAAAAGAAGTCTGCTCTCTCTAAGCAAGTGGCTCTTGTACTAATCTTACATCCTTGTCTTTTTCCCAAACCTATTTTTTTGTTGACTTGTTGGGATAGCCCGATAGATATATTTGCTGTAATGTGTAAAATTACATATCTGAATGTTAACTCTCCAAAGATATTCTTATTTCAGTATGGGTCAATAACTTCAAAGAATAAAACTAATGATGCAATTACTGGCATTAGCACCAACTCTTAGAAACAGTTTTCAGGGGCGAGGATGTAGCTCACTGGCGCCATGCTTGCCTGGCAAGCACAAGGTCCTGAGTTTGATTCCTGGTACTGGAAAAAAATTTCAATCAAGCGTTCTCCAAAATTAGAGCTGTGTTACCAGTCCAACTGACTAAAAGACCATCTCTTTCCAAAGAAAGCAAGTCTATTACATTTTTCTTGTTCTGGGATAACCAGTATTAATGAAGTTAATTTTTTGGTATCAGTTGCTGACTTAATCTATTTTTCCCTTGACACTGGCAGCTAAGGGGGTGTGATGGTATTTAGTTACTGAGATTTGTATTTGATATTAAGTTAATAAACAGGGGCTGGGGATGTAGCTCAGTGGTGTCATGCCTGCCTGGCAAGCATAAGGCTTTGAGATTGATCCCCGGTACCACAAAAATAAATAAATAATAAATAAAAATAATGCAGTACAAGAAGCTGGGGGTGGGGTGTAGCTCAGGGGTAGAGCATGTATAAAGCCCTGGGTTTAATCCCCAGCACTATCCAAAAAAAGAGACAAGATCCACTAATTTCAAACTAACCCAATAGTGCTCAGCAGTTTTAACTAGAACCCAATATAAACAGATATGCTGCACAAAAAGTAAAGTCTTGCTAATTTAGATTTTAAAAAAACAATACGGTAACTAGGTCAAAAGTATGTTTTAAATATACAATGCCAGGAACTAGCAAATGATTGCTGACTGAAACAGTCTGCCAGGCATGGTGGCACCATGATTGTTGACTGAAATAGTCTGCCAGGCATGGTGGCACATGCACTTGGGGAGACTGACAGGAGGATCACCGTGAGTTCAAGGGCAGCCTGGGCTACATAGTGAGTTCAAGGCCAGCCTGAACTACATAAAATGTCTCAAAAAACAAAAAACAACAACAACAAAGAAACAGTCAAATATAGGATAAGAAATACAGGCATAAAACCAAAAAAGTTAAAAAAAAAAAAAAAAGGAAAAGACTACCATCTCAATTTTAATTACAAAAGGATAAAAGTAAACATTTTTCTAGTTTTGTGTACTGAAAAATCCTGTAACAATGAATACCTGTAGCACCCAGATGGTCTCTAAATCCATGTCCCATTAAAAAGAACCAGAATGTTCTTTTAAATGTTCCCATTAAAAGGAACCAAGCTTGAACAGGAAATTCACAGGTTTAGACTCAAATGTTTGTCACTCTAGAAAGCAAAGAAAATATCAAAGATTATTAAAGTCATATCAAGAGAATATAAGTAGCTGGTTGCAGAAGCACACATCTGTAGTCCCAGAAATAGGGAGGCTGGCTGAGGCAAGACTACTTGAGCCCAGCCTAGGCAGCATAGTGAAGCTCTATCTCATTTTTAAAAAGAAAAGGGGGGGGGGAGGAGAAGAAAAAGAAAAAAAGGATATAGGAGCCAATTTTAGAGGCTCTTACTCTTATTGATGGTACAATATAACCATTGAAAACAATAGTGACAGCAATAGATGGAAAAGTACAGAGTATGTTAAAATCTATTAGCTTTAACTGCTTTCTTAGGTATTTTGTTTTGTTTGAGACAGGGTCTTGCTATGTATTCCCTTCTGGCCTCAAACTTACAATACTCCTGCTTCAGCATCCCATGTCCTTGAGTTACAGGCATCCACCACCATGTCTGGCTCCTGTTTAACTGTAAAAAAAAATGGGGCCAGGGGTTTAGCTCAGTGGTTTTGCTGCCTGCTGCGCAAGCGCAAGGACCCAAGTTTGATCCCTGGTACCCACCCCCTCAAAAAAAAGAAAAATGAAGCTGGGGGCATAGATTAGTAGTAGACCACTTGCCTAATATACATGACACCCTGAGTTTGATCCCCAAAATTGCAAAAAAACAAACAGTATGGCAGTTCCTCAAAAAAAATGAAACAGAATTACCACATGATCCAGCAATTCTTTTAGGTATATGCCCAAAAATTGGAGATAGAGACATTAACAGATATTTGGACATTCAAAAACAATAAAAATGAAAATACGTTTGAAATAAAAATGCACTGAATAGGATTAATAGATATTACAGAAGAAAAAAATAATGGATTGACAACATAACAATAGAAATCCAAAATGAAAATGAAGTAATATATAGATACTAAATAGAACACAAACAGAAGCATATTAAGATGACTCAGCATTGTTTATTTTTATTTATTGTTTGTTTGTTTGTTTTTGGGTTTTTTTTTTTTGGTACCGGGGATTGAACTCAGGTCCTTGAGCTTTCGAGGCAGGCAGCGGAACCACTGAGCTAAATCCCCGGCTAACTCAGCATTGTTTAAACGATTTAAAGTTTGTAAAACTTCTAGAATAACATTTTGAAACTCCAGACATTGTTGTAAGCTTGGCAGGACCTTTAACCACATGTAAGATGAAAGTCAGACATGGACCAGTTACTGAGTCATTTCTCCACTGCTGACAGCCATCACCATTGTTCATCATCTTCAGGGCTCTCTAAAGGGGTGGGTCACCATACAGGCTACCAAGAATTATCAACTGTGTGAGGAAGGTTCTTTTTTTTTTTTTTTTGGTACTGGAGATTGAACTCAGGACCTTGTGCTTGCAAGGCAGGTGCCAGAACCACCTAGGAAGGTTCTTTTATCGTCTTACAGAAATCTCTAACTGGCAAAGTGTAGCACTTTTATTTATTTATTGACATAAAGGGCTTATTTTAAATGTTTTAAGGATAGGATAGAGATACATCACAATTATGAAAATTCCTTACAGAATTAACAGATTTATATTGTATATACTTCTAAAGGCAAAGAACAGGAAACTGTCTATACATTGTATAAAATAAAATTAAAATTAAAAATGAATTCAAGCTTGAAAGATGAGGTCATTTATCTAAGTTTTAAAATGTGAGGGCTGGGGATGTAGCTCAGTGCCGCTGCACCTGCTAGGCCCTGACAAGGCCCTGCGTTTGATCCCCAGTACGGGGGTGGGGGGTGGGGGGGGTGGTAGTGGTGGTGGTGAAGACCTCTAAACTACACACAATCATCCAAACTGCACTAATGATGGAAAATACAAAGACCACAGCATTTCCAAGGAACCACAGACATTTCAACCATAATTAAATTGTTATAATAACTGTTACTGTTTTTGTCTTTGGAGAACTTTTCATTTTTTTAAAATAGAACTTTCTGGGGTTTTTTTTTGATACCGGGGATTGAACTCGGATCCTTGCGTTTATGCAGCAGGCTGTGAAACCACTGAGCTAAATCCCTGGCCCCAGAACTTTCATTTTTTAAGACAATCATCTTAAGAGTGTTTTCAGGAGCTTCAATTTGTGACAATCAGTGCAGCTCTTCTAATATTAACATCTCTGAGCTGTGAATGCCAGCAGCTATAAGCTCTTGGTTTTAAAAGGGCTCCTCACCACTGAGGGCAAGCAGGTATCAGCTGGCTTTGGAAGTCTTCTGGCATTGCAGGTGGTGCCTCCTGGCAAGTCTGTGTTCCTCTCTCTCATACCCTGGCTGCTAGCTAGCTTCAGTGTTACCAGCCCTGGCTGCTGGTCATTTTTGGTGCCAGCAGCCTTTGGTGTTACCAGCTCTGGCTGGTGGCTACATTAGATGCTAGACACTTGATGTTATAGTTCTATGTACTAGTTCACCACATTCTGCTCAAGACAGACATCACAAATAGGCAAAAATATGCCACACAAGAGATACTTTATGTATTACAGGATTTAGATTGTAGTATAAGGAGGACCAGTATACTTTCCTAAGGGTACAGGGAAGTTGTTTATATCCGGAAAAAGGCAGGCTCAGGCACGTGCAGTGTCAGACTTTGTTTAGTCATGGGTAGGGGAGGAGATCCTCATGGATGTGAATGAAGAGGGCTGAAGAAGGGTCATCCAGAGAGCTTTGGGGTACAGTCCCTCTTGGACTGGCACACAATGAAAGCTTTCTGCAGCCAAATATCTCCCAGAGCAGCCATGGGGCGTATGATACAGCTGTAACTGGCTGTGAGGCACATAAGGCAGCTGTGGAAGAAAAATAAGAAAAAAATATCCTTTGGGGAGTGTCTGCTCCTTATCTCAGTATTATATTTTCTCAAAAGCAAATTG